CCATGCCTTTCCTCCTCCCACCCCCAAATAAAAGTCACGATCTTTGAAGTGAGCCATGCAGTTAAGTGATTCATTCTTATAAAAGAATGGTTGCCTTGGGGGGATTTTCTAGCTTGGCTTTCTCTGTCTCCTCTCCAGCACTCCAGGCCGAGGTCCGGTGCCGGGAAGGGGCAGCAGCAGCAGCAAAGAGCCCCAGGCGCGTCACGCAAGTGCCAGAGCATGACTTCAGCTAAACTGCTTCGCAAGAAGCAAAGATTAGACACATTTGCATATGAGTCAGCTGTGAGCCATTTTTTTTTTACGGGATATACAAATTTCAGTGTTATAATAGAGCGAGCCGCCCTAGCTGTAGGCTTAACAAGTCAGTGGATAAACACATCAAGCCTGAGTTGGCGTGATTTGCTCGACGACTATCGGGCAGATCAGGAACACTGGCGGCGGCCATTTTATGAAATGGGTAGATGACAGAGAAATCAAAACAAAGCCTGCTTCCCCACCTGCGTTTATCACAGAGGGCATCAGTTTATAGTGCCTCGCCTTAGCTCGGCTTGTAACTTGCATTAAAACTTAGAAAGACATTTAACTGCACTCTATTATATGGGAGCTTAAAGACTCAGGCAAATGACAAAGGTCTTTTGGGGAATCTGGCCCTGATGGCATAGTGGTTAAAGCATTCAGCTGCTAACCAAAAGGTCAACAGTTCGAACCCACCAGCAACTTCTTGAGAGAAAGATGAGGCAGTCTGCTTCCATAAAGATTTAGCCTTGGAAACCGCACAGGGCAGTTCTGCTGTGTCCTGTAAGGTGGCTAGGAGTGGAAATAGACTCCATGGCAGTAGGTATGGTTCAAGGTTGGTCCCATCCAGTAGAGACTACATTATTCTGAAAGGAATTGAGCTAGTCAAGGCTATAATTAAAGGTCCTTGGGGGGTGGGGGAGAAAAGGGGGAGCTTCTACAAAGCTTCCTTCTCCAAAGAATTTACCAATCTCAGACTCTGAATTAATTCCTTTAAGTGATCAGGGTCCTGGATTGGTTATCTCATTTTCCAGCTTGTGTTGCAATCACAGCATAGGAATAGGAGGGCAGGAAAACAGGGTCAAAAGAAGTAAGGGAAAATAGATTGCAGCCCATTTTAGGAAAGGCTATTCCCTGGGTGCAGACAAAAGAGCTGATGATCTGTTTCTGTCAAAGCACAGCCACTGAAAACTCTGCAGAGTACAGTTCTACTCTGAAACACATGGAGGGCCAAATATCAGAATCAATTCGACAATGGGTTCGTTTGTTTGTTTGCTTTTGGTGGCATAGTGGTTAAGGCATTTGGCTGCTAACCAGAGACCTGGTGGTTGGAACCCACCAGCCGCTCTGCAGAAGTAAGATTGGGCAGTCTGCATCTATAAAGATTTACTGCCTAGGAAACCCACTGTTGTTGTTGTTGTTATGTGCCGTCGAGTCAGCCCTGACTCATAGCGACCCCTCCTTGGGTTTCCGAGGCAGTATCACTACGGAAGTAGGATTGCCCAACCTTCCTTCCGAGGAGTGGCTGGTGGGTTTGAACCGCCAGCCTTCTGGTTAGCAGTCAAGTGCCTTAGCCACTATGCTACCAGAGCTCCCAGGAAACCCAATAGGGGTTGCTATAAGTGAGAATCGACTCAATGACAGTGAGGGTTTTTTGTTTTTTTCTTTTATGAGGTAATACAAATGGTTAATGTACTCACTTATCTGCTAACTGAAAGGTTACAGGTTCAAGTCCACTCAGAGGTGCCTAGGAAGAAATCTAATGATCCCTTTCCAAAAGATCATCCATTAAAAACCCTCTGGAACACAGTTCTACTCTGGCACACATGGGGTTGCCATGAATCAGGGTTGACTCCACCGCAACTGGTTAGCTTATTCAAAAATACAGCAGGTGGATTCAGGACATAGTAAGTTACCTATTAATGTAAATATGAAAGCAGAAACTAGCTTCTAAGTCCTCTGTTGTTGTTGTTATGTGCCGTCGAGTCAAACCCGACTCATAGCGACCCCTCCTTGGGTTTCCGAGGCAGTATCACTACGGAAGTAGGGTTGCCCAACCTTCCTTCCGAGGAGTGGCTGGTGGGTTTGAGCCTCCAGCCATCTGGTTAGCAAGCAAGTGTCTTAGCCACTATGATACCAGAGCTCCCTCTAAGTCCTCTACCAGTTCTGAAATTCTAGAAGGTAAGTCAGAATACAGTAAAGAAAAGGATGGTCAGGCTGTTAGGACTGTAGAGCTTTTAAGTTTCCTAGATGCCTAAGATCTAACAAGCCTAAGGCTCAGGAAGTGGTTGATTGAACTTTATTCTTAGTTGGGATCTTTTGCCATAGTCAAACCTCAACCGGAAGAACACGGGAGGTGACATCTTAGGAAGTTCAAAAGGAAGTCAGAGGATGACTAGGGTGGTTTCCTGAGGTCTGAAACCCTTGGCCTTGACTTTGTGGCAACCATTACCACAGAAACGTTTCCCCAACTGCCTCCAGTTACCCCAGAATGGCAAATGCACAGCAGAGTCTTTCCAGTGTTTGTTCTATTTTCTAATTTCAATAAACACTTAGGTTCACACATACTGCAACAGGTGGGGGTGAGGAATAGAGAAATGAATTGACCTCTACTCTTAAGCACAATTGCAGAAGACTTGAAGCATTTACTAATGAAGATCAAAGACTGCAACTTTCAGAATGCATTACATCTCAACATAAAGACAACAAAAATCCTCAAAACTGGACCAATAAGCAACATCATGACAAACAGAGAAAATACTGAAGTTTCATTTTAGTTGGATCCACAATCAGCGCTCATGGAAGCAGCAGTCAAGAAACCAAACAATATATAGCACTGGGTAAATATGCTGCAAAAGACTTCTTTAAAATGTTAAAAAGCAAAGGTGTCACTTTGAGGATTAAGGTGTGCCTGAATCAAGCCATGGTATTTTCAGTCAGCTCTTATGCGTGTGAAAGCTGGACAATGAATAAGGAAGACTGAAGAAGAATTGATGTCTTTGAGTTATGATGTTCTTGAAGAATAATGAATGTGCCATGGACTGCCAGAAGGATGAATAACTTGATCTTGGAAGAAGTACAGCCAGAATGCTCCTTAAAAGAAAGGGTGGTAAGACTTCATCTCACATACTTTGGACATGTTAATAGGAAAGACTAGTCCCTGAATAAGGACATCACATTGGGTAAAGCAGAGGTCAGTGAAAAATAAGATCCTCAGCTAGACAGACTGACACACTAGCTGCAACCCTGGGCTTAAACGATTGCAAGGACGGCACAGTACTGAGCAGAGTTTCATCCACAAGGTCACTGTGAGTCAGAACCAACTTGACGGTACCTAACAACTTAACCCTCAGGAAGCTGACCTGAACAAAACCTCAAACCAAAGCCTTTCATTATTTCATTTCTCAAAAGCTCATATTAACAAAACTGGGGGGGGGTGGGGGGGGGGGGGAAGGAAGGCATTGTTGTTTGACTTTGTTTCTTTCCCAAAGACCTACTTAAACTCCAGTGCCAATGTTGCCCCAAATCCAACTCCAGGGAAGAGCACATCATTTGTAACTGATGTCTAAGCTCCACTTCATAGATCTAAACAGATCCAGAAGTCTGCACCCAAGTCAAAGGACAACATGAAACCCTCTATTCAACTCAATAGTATACTTATCCCCATGGTGTACATGCCAGTGTACCTATTTGTGAAGAGAGAGTAATTTGAAAGACCTCCTCCCACACTCTCAACATGCTATCTCTGACTTGGTGTAACCTTGATTGAGAGTCATGCATAGCCTCCAGATGAATCCAATTTTAACTAAATTGTTAAAATTAGATGCAATTCATGTGAACATAATTCATGATGAGTAGGTATTCTGCCTGATGGGAGAGTTCAGATGAGCCATCAAGGTCAGCCTTAAAAACTGATGAAATGGTGTGTTTGGGGATTCTAGAAATTTCCAATTGCTACCCCTCCACGCAGAGACCATGATGGCAGGTTCATTTACCCTGGAATTCTACTGTTCAACAGTTTTCACCTCAGCCAAATGCAGTTTGTTGAAATTTAAATATAGCCCCCTCTTCCGTAAGTATACCTGTGATGGTTACATTTGTGTGTCAACTTGGCTGGGCCTGGTTGAGTGGCTGGGCAGCCCCATGATGAGACTGGCAATCAACTCCATGGTGGAATCTACTGTGAGCAGCTGAGTAGCTGCCTTAGATAATGTGGTCTGCTTCCTGCATATAAGCAGAAGCCTTGGGGAATGGTCTTTAGCCTATGGCATGCTTGGAGCTACATGTAACTGTGTCATTGTTCAGTTGCGTGCCATGATCTGCCGACCTGGGGACTTTCAATGGGCTTAAATTAATGGCCTGTGGTTTGGTAACATCGGGACTGTGCCTTTTTCCTTGTCAACCTTGGGTTTGTTAGCCTCAGCAGCCACTAGCTGCCTGAGTGAAGAGATGCCTGTAGCTTCAGTGAGCCAGGAGCTGGAGGCAGAGCTGAAGCCCAAGGCTGAGGGACTTTCACCCAGCCTCTAGAGTTTGGCACTTTGAACTTGGACTTAAAGCCTCCAAACTGTAAGGGAATAAACTCCTGTTTGTTAAGGCCATCCCATTTGTGGTATCTTCTTGTCAGAGTGACACTAGGTAACAAAAACAATACCAAAGTATGAATAATTTGATTTGAACATATGAACAGATTGACAGGTAATTTCCTAAGAATAAGATTTTGTTGAAAAGAGAGGAAAGAGTGAACAACCTTGGAGAGTGACTCACTTCACTGGAGACAAACACTTTGCTAGAGGCATCCCTGCTGGTCATTTTCAATATATGAATATTGACTCAAAATCAAATCTCTTATAAATGGATAACTCCACTCCATTCCTAGTCTTTTCATGAGAAAGATGCTAGCAAAGTGGAAGTGTGGAGTGCTGGTAATTCTCATTAATTCTCAGTAAGCTCTTGCATTAAGCATACTCAACCTCAGGACAACTTACCGATAGGAAGGTGATTGGTGGTTGTCATGGAGATCTGGGCCCTGCAGAAAGTTTTGCTGTCCAACAAATCTGCGCCAATGAAAAGATAAAGGGAGTGAAGAGGCCCCTCCTTATAAAGTTGTGACTGTAGCATAGAATAAGAATGTAAAAGGGCCTTAAGTGTTGGAGAGTTAGTTACCTACTGTGCTACCATAGTTGGTGTCATATAAATAGTTTTCTTCTTTCCAGGTGTTCATGATGGAAGGATCTACAAAGGACAGAAGATGGGACACCTCAGCAATCATTTTGCCTTAACTCACTGCTCATAAAAGAACACAATTAGGGGGTAGTTCTCAGAGCTTTTGTCACTTGTTGCTTTCTAATCTTGTCCCATTTTTCTTCAGTTTCCAGGGGAAAACAGACTTTGCTATGGCCCTGGCTATGTGTCTTATATCTTTCACACTTTCAGGCAAGCAAGATAAGTTACAACAGTAGGATCCTGTCCTAGACCAGTGATCTGGTTTCCTGGGAATTTTCTTAGCCTGCACATGGCAGTGGTTGGTCCATGGGCTTGGGTTGTCTTAACATTCTATTATATAATCACCAGAATATTTTTACACCAGGAAACAAAAACCTTTTCCAGGACAAATGAATTTACAATAAAGGGTATGTGTGTGTGTATATATATATATATATATATTTCCCCCCCCCCCTTGGGAGAATTAGAACTGTTTCTTTCAGAAAATGTCTGTTCTGTCTTATCATAGTTTCTTCATTTTTTAAGTCCAGAGAGAGTCTCACCTCAAGTTGGAAGACAGCCCCCTCCCTCCAATGTTCCTCCAATTAGTTTAAGGGATGACATAAAACTCTCAAAACAAAATTAAGGAGAAGAAGGGGAACAGAGTGTTAGAAAGTCACACAAACAACTTTTAAGAGTGGGCACCATTGCCTCATCTCAGAGGAGAAACCATCTCTTCCTCTCTCTCACTTCAGTGTGCACATTAAGCACGTCCCACTCTGATTAACTGTTCAGATTTCAGATTCAAAGGAAACTCCCCTTCACCTGCCCCAGATGAAGCCCAACTCCTACATAACCCCCAGATCTGGGCTGCTCTCCAACAGAAGCATTTTCGTTCCTGGCTGGCCAAGAGCTGTAAGATCTGGTGTGAGCACTCACCTCGTCCCTATAAGGAACTTCCTGCTTTCACCTCTTCACAGATCTTGGCTACTCTCAGCACCCCTCCTGCCCAGGTTCTGAATCTTGGGGCCCAGGTGGTAAGCTGCTGGCCGAGTTCATTTTGTTTTTATAGAGTAAATGGTATAAACCCTGACTCACTGGCTAAGTCCTCCTGTTTATGACACAGGGATTTAGCTGGTATTCTAACTAATAGCTACATGTTTGGACACCCCAAGCACAATCTCTTGGGGTTACACCCTCTCTCCTTGTTTGGTCACCTCATACACCTGTTGTTGTCTCTGAAAACAAACTGAACCAAAGAGGTCGGGGGTGTTGGCCCCTCCATGAGCCTCTTCTCCCCTCCTCCCAGGGTGGACCTTCTTCTCCACCCTTCAGCTTAGCTTTTCTGAACTGGCAACACAAGAATGTCTGGATGGTCAAGGAGGAATTATCAAGTTATTTGGGACCTCTCCAATATCACCCCTAGCTGTTCTATTGGGGTATCTGTTGAGTCACTGAGGGAAAGGGGCACTATCCTTTCAGATAAGTCCTATGTCCATCTTTAGGGCAGTCAGGCCTACAGAGCACAGACCATCCAGGTAGCCCAGCCTAGCAGGGCTAGGAAAGCCTAATTAACATACTTAGCAGCTACTGTTTTTGCTTTAATATGATAGGCCAACCTCCTTATAAAACAGTAAATAATTACATGGGGCCAGTTTTGGCCCTAAGTGACTCACAAATCAACCCTAGGTCAAGTTCTGTCCTTAGTGACTGCACGCAACCCTCAAGAAGGCCTGAGGCAAATTAGTGCCACATGACTCCCAGTCTTAAGGATGTGGACATAGGAGTGGACCCATGAGCAGTGGCAAATTTTAGACAATGCAGCTGCACAGTTTATCATAGCTCATGGGCTTTGGGGACTTGCACAACTCTCCCTAGACTGAGAGGTCCTAAGCCAAAGGTCAGTATGCAAGGAGCTCTGAGTGTTACAAGGCCCAGGGCAGCAACTTCTCCCCTGAGGGCAGTTATTGCCCCCTCCAAGTCCAACTGACTGACATAAAACCCCCAGCGAGAGATTTAGGACAGGGGAAGGAAGAGTGATTAGGAAGGGAAAAGAAAAAAATTAAATGTAGCTAATGGAACTATAGACCCTGCTCAGAGTCCAGAATATTAACTTTCTTATAAAAGTGCACTAAAAGTTTGGTTCCACAGCTGCCTTTGGACATCATTACTAGAGCTTCCTTTTGGGAGGTGAAGTAGAAGAGGAGACATTTTCTATTCCTCTCCTTCTTCTCTGCTTTTTTTAACTTAGCCAAGTTCAACCTCCTCATTCTTTCTGGTAAGAAGGAGGCCCACGTTAGATACTGCACTCTTACTAGAAATGGACCTGGATGTTGCCTGACCAGTAGTGACCAGAGGCAGGGGAAGTGGGCAAGGGGGAGGCTCATCATCAGTCTATACATCAGAACTAGCTGGCAGTCACCAGCCCCGATGTCAAGAGATAAGGCTTATGGTAGAGAGTCCCATTGAAGACTGCCAGAAAAGAGACCTCCCTGGGCTCCCTATCAAAACACTGGGTCCATCCTGCTTCCAAGCTCTCTATTACACCCTTTCCAAATTGTTCTCCCTAGGAATTTGCCTAGCCAAATTGGCCTTCTTGGTCTTCTATTACTCACCAGTTTGTTCAGTCTTTACAATGACATTGTGTGTGGACTGGAACAGGTCACTGCTGCACTGGCCTATGAGGGACAGATTGGGAAAGTCAGAAGGGCCTATATGGAGCCAAAACTTGATCCTTAAACAAGGACAGAGCTGGCTTCTTTGAAGAGCTTTGGCCAATCTCACCACCTATTGGCCTCTGTTTGCTTATGGGAAAGGGCTTCCTTCTCAGCCTTTGCAAACTCAAGCTTGGAGTCCTGGCCCTGGAAGATCAGATGTCTACAACACCCACATCCAGTGAAATTATCTGGAATTGCATCCAATATGGAGGAATAGAGCTTCAGAAGTCAGGAGAACAGTGTTTCCACTACCAGTTGTGAAGCACTTCACTTTTCCGGATATCAGTTTTCTTATCTCCAAATTTAGGGGCTTAAACTAGATAAAGTCACTAAATGGCCCCTTAAGTGTTTTGCAAGACTAAGATCTGATACAAAATGAAGATAAAAATATGGGGAAACTATTTTAACTAGCTTGCTTCTTCTTTGATATTCAAGCCCATGTTGATTAGTGAGTTCCAGGGTGATACAAATGTTTAACAGACATGGCTGCTAACTAAAAGGTTGGCCGTTTGAGTCCCCCCAGAGGCTCCTTGGAAGAAAGTCCTGGTGATCTACTTCCAAAGAATCAGCCATTGAAAACTCTAAGGAGCATAGTCTACTCTGATTTATGTGAGGTCACCATGAATTGGAAGCAACTTGACAGCAACTTTTTTTTTTTTAAATCTTGATTAAAATCTAATAGCTATTCTGGATAAATGCAATAAATTCTTCCTTTATTTATGCCCTCAGCACACCACAGTACTAGCAGTGCACACCACACATCCTTGTGTTTGCTTTCAATGTCTCTCTGATTGTATCATATATCAAAGCACATAAAGACACATGAATGAATCTAAAATATTTTTCCTTCCCAGACAGATTGTAAATATCTCAGAATAAGAGGTCAGGCCTTTAGCCATTCTGACCCTCCATTTCCACATCTGTAAAATGGGTACAAAAGTAGTTCTTTTTCTCATGATTTCATTATATAAATCAATTCACTTAGCACACCAGCTATAAGCAAAAAATAATTGTAAGTTAATATAATGTCTACAAAAAATTCAAACAACAAAACAGGGGTGAGGAAACTGGCTGGTCATTAAGCATTCAGAGGCAACAGCAACATATGGGGTCAAATAAATCACAGAAGGTCAAGGATGACCACAGCACCTCCCTGGCCTCCTTGCCTTAGGCTTCAATCAGAGCAAAGTTTAAAGGAGTGGATTTAATTGGAGGTAGGGAGGTAAATGTTTTCAATTCTTCAAGTGTAAGTCTGCTCTTTCTGAAGATTCCTAGGGGTTATTTATAGAGCCTTGTTTGGTTTGGTTCTAATGAAAAGAGAAAAATAAAATAAAAAGTGAGCTACCACTGCTGTGGGGTGAGTGGGAAGAAGGGAGTGCCAGGGAACTGGATGAGGTCATCCAAGATGGCCACCACAGCTCCAGGCTCCACAGACAGATGGCAGCCCTTGTCAGTGTTGAAGGCAGCTGTCAGATTGGGATCTGGTGCCCAGCCCTGGAAATCATGCTTCCCAACGCCCAGCTACCTGCCCGAGCCCAGGTTCTGCTAATATGATGGACCTTTTCCAATATGGACAGGCCAGCTCAGTATTCTGAAACACAACTGCTTTATAAGATGTCCATAACTATCAGAGGAGCTAGTTTTTTGTAGCCATTATCAGGGGAAAGTGTTAAAGACTTTTTCTGCAAGATGACTTATCTGTCCTCCTGGGTCTTATAAGTATAGAGTTTGTGCATGTTTAAGGACAGAATTTGGGATGGTGCCTGTCCATGTGCTAAGTGAGGCTTCAAGAGAAATATTTGGGGTTTTAAAGTAGCACCAACCCCAGAAAGCACTGTAGAAACATCTCTCAGGGGTCCATACCAACGTTCTAATTCTTGCTTTGAGTTACGTACGTTTTATGAATCTGCTAAAATATTATGAGCCTTATCTCCTATAAAACACAGACATAGATCTAACTCTGCATGTCTTTTTCTTACCCTTAGACCCTATCGTAACGCCCCTGGGTGGCACAAGTGATTTGTGCTAGAGTAGTAACTGAAAGGTTGGCAATTTGAACCCACCCAGTGGCTCCCCGGGGGAAATGACATGGCAATGCACTCGTATAAAGATGACAGCCTAGGAAACTCTATAGGGAAGTTTTACCCTGTCCTATTGGGTCAATATGAATCATAATCAATTCCACGGCACACAACAACATGATCGTCTTTAACAAGCAGTGCTTGCTGAGAACTTTAACAAGTGAGCCATCGGGAATTAAACTATCAAACTCTGTTACAAGCAAGGGAAAGAAGATAAAATTTTCTGAAAGCAGTAACTATTCTGTGAATACCTAGTAGGTCCTTGTCTCCTTGAAAATTAACATTGCCATAAGGAGTGAATTCAATAAACAAATACACTGATATTTATAAGGGATTAGATACACATCACACCCTAGGCTTCACTCCCATTCTCTCACCTCCCTTCTACTTCCCTGTCTTAGGAAACAGTAATTTGGAGGTGAGATGAGGAAGCCTGCTGGTCTTGGAGCCTCACTCTTCCCAGCTGACTCCCAGCAGGCAAGGGGTGTGATAGTCACCATTCCACTTGAGATGCTGCAGGTTGCTGTAGAGGAGCTGCCCCGCCGCCGTCCCAGCCGCCCGGGTGAACTCCTGCAAACTCATGCTACAGAGGTGCTCGCCGTTGATGTCAAACTCCTGGAAAGGGATGCAGCTGGCGTCGAGCTGGTTGGTGTCCAGAAGGTGCTGGAGCCACTCCCACACCTGGTACTTTGTCCAGTACTGAGGGTGGATTTCATGCCACTGGCCTCCAAAGAACCCGCTGGATACTGCAAAACAGGAAACCGTCCCTTAAGTGACTACGGTTGTGCCTGGAAATAATCTCAGACGTAGAGACACACTGCCGCCCTTTGAGGTCATGGAACACACCACAGTCCATGTGCATCAGTGAAGGAGGGGAGCACGAGACAGGCTCTGGAAAAGGCTCGCAGAAATGTGCTTCTTTTCCTAGTTGTAGCAGGGGCCAATCAATTAGCCTCCGTACACCTTCACATTCTCCTAGCATAGTAATACTACCCCTAGGAGTTTGGGAGGAAGCCCTGGTGGTGCAGTGGCTAACCTCTCAGCTGCTAACTGAAAAATGGGCAGTTCAAACCCACTCGGTGGCTCTCCACAGGAGAAAGATCTGATCATCTGCCCCCATGAAGATTACAGTCTAGAAAACTCAATGGGGAAGTTCTACTCTGTCACATGGGGTCACTACGAATCAGAATAGACTCAATGGCACAAAACAACAACAGGTGCTTTGGTGAGGAGGTTACAAGTGCTCTGAGTATGTTCAGAAGAAGTACTATAACAGCTAAAGTGTTGCTATAGTTTTGGTAATTTATCCACACCAAACAAAATAATCCTCTCTCTCTGTCTGTCTGTCTCTGTCTCTATCTCTGTCTCTCTCTCTCTTTCTCTCTCTCAGCCTCCAGCCCTAGCTCTCTCTTTCCTATTTTTTTCTTCTTTGTTATACACACATACACATACATACCTAAGACTCAAAACATTTATTTTTGACCAAAGATGAAGACTGAGATTGAAGTTCTTTTGCCTGCAGTGCCTTTGCTTCCCACCAAAGTGGTCCAGATTATTCATCTACTAACTGTGCTGATACTCCTCCACCCTCTCCCACACTAGTTATTATAGCTACTGTGATGTCACTAGGAGCTCTGGTGGCATAGTGCCTAAGGCACTTGACTGCTAACCAGAAAGCTGGCAGTTCAAACCCACCAGCCACTTCTCAGAAGGAAGACTGGGCAATCTACTTCTGTATAGATTTACCACCTTGGAAACCCAGTGGGGGTCACTATGAGTTGGAACTGACTCAATGGCAGTTGAGTTTGGCTTTTTTTGAGTATGATGTCACTGCCCTGCTTAGTTACCTTCAGTAACTGCCCATTATTAGGTGCAACTCTACCCAGCCAGGCATTGAGGCTTTTTGCTAACTATTCAAGTGAACTTTGGTTTTTGCCCTGGTTCTGTGCTGTTCCTTTAGCCCAGTTTATTTTCTACTTATCACTCCTTATTGAATTCCTACCCATCTTTCAAACCCCAACCACTGCATAAACCCATCACTGATCCCCAACCTTACTGCGAAGGCTCACACTCCTCTGAATCTCTAGGAGACTTGCTTGATATTTCTCCTAACGACTTTTGTCATGGTTTGCTTTTCATGACAGTGATTTGGCAGATAAGCCTCTGTGTACTGTCTTATTAGAACTTGTAAATTGTATGCATGTGGTCATGGAATCCACCTTACCTTTCTACCTCCTATAAAACCTGCCTCTGAGTCCTTGTTAGAGTTGGTGCTCACTATATATTTCTTTAATGGAATTTTTTGCTGAAGAAGAAATAACAGGAATCCAGAGGAGTTATGACATACATTCACAAGGTGCTTAACTCAAATACCAGTGAAGATGTGAAGTTCATTTAAGCCAAATATATGGCTGAGCACATTTTGTGCTAATGATCTATGCATATGCTCACTTAGGAGTACATCACATGGAGTCCATAGCTGGCCTTACATCTTGGGAGATACCTCTTGGGGCTAAGAGAACTCGTTGTTGTTGTTGTTATGTGCCATAGAGTTGGCCCCAACTCATAGCGACCCCTCCTTGAGTTTCCGAGGCAGTATCACTACGGAAGTAGATTGCCCCATCTTCCTTCTGAGGAGGGGCTGGTGGGTTTGAACTGCCAGCCTTCTGGTTAGCAGTCAAGTGACATAGACACTATGCTACCAGAACTCATAGTCCCCTTGAAAACAGAAACGAAAGGGAAGAGCTCTCTTCCAGGTAAGGTGAGAGGTAGAGGCCATGTTGTTGTTGTTGTTGTTATGTGCCGTCAAGTCAGACTTGACTCATAGTGACCCATCCTTGGGTTTCTGAGGTGGCATCACTATGGAAGTAGATTGCCTAACCTTCATTCTGAGGAGTGGCTGGTGAGTTTGAACCGCCAGTCTTCTGGTTAGCAGTCAAATGTCTTAGGCACTATGCTATCGGAGCTCTAGGGTAAGACATGATTGCACCCCACCAAGCTAAAACATAGAAAATTCAATTAAACGTGACACATAGATATTCCCACAAACTCAAAGATGGACAAATAAAAGATACCATAATGCAATGAAACTGTTCCTAACTCTTTTCTTCAGGGTCATGCTAGATTAGCACTCCTTAAATTTGAATATGATTGCAAATCACCAGTGACTATTATTAAAATGCAGACTCTGACTCAGTGGGCCTGCACTCCTAACCAACTCCCAGATGATATCGATGCTGCTGATCTGTGAACACACTTTGAGTGGCAAAGTGCTGAAGAGCTCAGAAATTTGTGACTCCCACCAAGCCCACTGTCTGGCCCTCAAGACCCCAGAGGAGAGAAGAGGCGCTTGTTTCCATTTTTGCTCAGAATCTGCTCACTCCTTCCAAATTTCAGAAGCACTAAGAGCAAGAAGTCAAGTTCATTTAGAACATGAGGGAGAAAACCATTGGCAATACTGCCACTCACAGTGTATGCCTCCCCACTCATACCTCTTTGCCAAGCAGAAGCATCCCTAACCTCTCATCTTGGGCCCTGAAGCAGAAGTCAGCATGGGAGGTGGGGCCAGGGATTGGAAAAACCTAATCCAATATTTTAGTTTAAAGAAATATTCTCAAATGTACAAACAATAGAGCTTAGATTTATCTAGAGTTTAGATGTTTCCATCACCCCTCAGTTTCTTGGCATAGTGCCTAAGGCACTTACTTGACTGCTAACCAGAAGGTTGGGTTCAAACCCACCAGCCACTCCTTGGAAGGAAGATGGGGCAATCTACTTCCATAGTGATATTGCCTCGGAAACCCAAGGAGGGGTCGCTATGAGTCAGGTCCGACTCAATGGCACATAACAACAACAAGAACAACACACATTTCAGGATGGAATATATATTTTGTGGCTCACCAAGTCTTTGATCTTATTTTTAGATAAAATAATTGTGTTTCTACAACTATGTAACTCTTGATTTGCATATGAAAGGCAAACTTTAAATAACAAAAAAAAAAACCAAATAAAAACACCTCTCTGCCTTTGAGTCAATTCAACTCAGAGAGACCCCTCCTTGGGTTTCTGAGGCAATATCCCTATGGAAGTAGATTGCCCAATCTTCCTTCCAAGGAGTGGCTAGTGGGTTTGAACCACCAGCCTTCTGGTTAGCAGTCAAATGCCTTAGGCTACGTCACCAGAGCTCCCAACTCAACAACAGACCCGAAATAATTTCTTCTCTAAACTTAATGTGATCTAATTAAAGTTGCTGATACTATACCATATTGAAAATTAGAAGAACCAGAGAATTCTGTCTGAAGTTAACTGGAAAGACTCTGCATCAGCCAGTGGACCTATCGGAAAAAACACTGAAAATCTGATGAGTTCACCTATTCTCTGTTAGTCAACTGATCTCCCCTTCCTCATCAGGTGTGACCAGATGTTGGGGGTTTTGAGGTCTCTTGAAGTTAAATAAAGTTACTCCTAATTCTACTCATTGCTAAACATATTCCTCCAACCTTCTCCAAAGAAAACAGGAGGAATAATACCATCTTAACCTAGGGTTGAAGGGCCTGGGGATCCCAAAGGCTTTCCAGTCTGGAGAACCTTCTGCTCCATTTGGAATCATCTTTCTAGGTGTCCATAGGGAGTCCTGCAACAGAAAATGTAACTGCTCAGGAAGGGCAGTGGTTTGGTGGCATGGCAATCGATGATAAGAAGCTCACTTGTTTCAAACTTTCAACTAGCTATGTCTGGCTGGGATTATAAACTAAAAGAGGTAGAGTTCCACATGCATCTGCTGCTATAACCCTCCCACTATCCTCTTGCTCTGGTGGCACAATGATTGAGCCCTAGACTGCTATCCAAGAGGTCAGTGGTTCAAACCCACAGCCACTCCATGGGAGAAGGATAAGGCAGTCTGCTTCTGTAAAGATTTACAGCCTTGGAAACCCTATGGGGTAGTTCAACTCTATCTTATAGGGTTGCTATGAATAAGAATGACTCAACAGCAACAGGTATGGTTTTCTCACTCCTGCTTCTCAGACTCTGCTCACCAACAGGCCATTTTCACTTTTCCAGGGAAGCAAGAACAGCAGAGTCTCTTGCTCAAGGATTAGCAGCAGATCTGGGATAAAATAAGCCCAGAATTTTTCCAGGCCATTTTATGCCCAGTGGTCTGCCTAACTTGACGGCCTTTACAATATATTTGTCATTTGGGATTTGGGGCTGCTGATTCAGCAACATCTTTATTCAGTTCAGCTTCTGCAGGAAACCATAGGCTTGATCACCAAACCCTCTATAAGCCCTACCACCGAGACCAAGATTATATCTATCTACTTCCTCTAGTCGATATAGCTAGATTAGAGCACCAAAGGAGAGCACCTGGTATCCCAACAAATCTCCTCTTCCCTTACAAAGGGAAGGCACCAAATGATCCAATAAAAAGGCTAAGGTGTTACAGCCTTCTCCTCCTCAAGCTCTACGGTTGTGGTGTGCACGTACACGAATGTGTGTATGCGTGTAGGCATGTGTGTGCACGCATGTGTACAGACAGACAGGCACACACATCCACACGCACACACACCCCTTCTCTCTTATCTTGTCTTAGTATCTCAACCTAACATTATTAAAATGTTCAACAGGTAGCCTTCCTTTTGGGCATCTCTTCTACAGCATTCTCTACCAGGCTGCCAACCCAGCGCCTGGAATATTGAGAGGAGAAGACAGAATATCTTAAATGGGCTTCCTTTTCGAGCCCTGGGGGCCAACTGGAACTCCAGCTTCAGAAATTGTCTCCATTCCCTTTGGTCCCCACACCACCCATTAAACAAAATTTGTATATTTTCAAAAATTAAGTTGGGTTCGGAAGCATCATTAGAACAAGAGGAGAATGGCCACAGGAATGACATGACATCACCTGAGCCCCTTACCATTGCACGTGGAGTAGCTGTCTGTCCAGGATGGTTGCTGGTGCAGGAGGTTGTTGCTGGGGTTGAGATTCATTACACCACTTCCTTCCAGAATCATGATCTGTAAGGGCATCAAAAAATCCGCTTAGTCGGTCGCTCTTGGACAAACATTATTTGAGAGTGTAGGTCGTAATGTTCCCTTCAGAAGAAAAAAAAAAAAGAAGAATTCGTCCTTTCACCTATACCTCCAAAACATGTTGCCACAGCCTTTTCAGTAAAAGCAAAGCTCATTGGCAATTAAAAATTTCCAGGTTCGATGTTCATATGCATGAGACAAGTCTTTACAGCCACCCATTCATAAATGAATAATCTCTGATCAGGAATGAAGTGGGAGGAAAATGCAGTACCTGCACTGGGCGAGGCTGGCCAGCACCCAGGTGTTTTACAAAAGTGAAAATACCAAAAGGATTTTTTAAAGTGCAATTTAAATCAATGAAAATCCAAGCCAGTAGAGGCACAGAGCCAGGACCTATGCTGATACTCTAATCTGAAATCAGTCATTCCCTCATCCCAACACACCCAAGCAGCCCTGCCCTGCGCCAGGTCCCTTCTGCACTGGGATCTGACATGGGGCGGGATGGTCATCTTTGGGCCTCAACCATCCTTCAGCCAGAGTCTTCAAGTGTTTGGCTCTGTGATAGTATGAGGAATCGACTAGTTTCTCTGACTAGGACACTGCCCCTTCTCCTCATACCTGGTAAAAATTGTAACTAGCTTTTTCTTTCCATTTAAATACCAGGCTTTGACACTGACCTAAAATGGATTTTCTCAGGCTAAGGGAATAAGAGAAGTAAAGGACCCAAAAGAGGAGTCTTTCTTCCATGGGCCTGTCTGGATTTTTTTAAAAGAAGGTAAACATTTTGCACTTTAAAAATACTCTCTTCATGTCTGCCTTGAGCATTGTCCTTTTTTCACAGAACTATCTACATGGAATCAAATTGATAACAACAACTGGAAAGGTTAGATAGGACGCTTAGAGGGCAGTGAGTTTATGTTAATTATGGAAGAATAATTCAGAAAAGGAGGGTGAGAATGGTTGCACAGCTTGAAGAACTTAATATCACTGAATTTTCCATGGAGAAATTATTGACTTGGTGTATGTTTTGCTGTGTATATTTTCAACAATAACAATAAAAATAAAATAAATTATTAAAAAGAAAAGAGAGGACACCCTCTTCAATGCTCCAGCACCTATAGTGCCCCTACTCTTGAGCCAGGCATCCTCCATATTTCAAATCAAAGCCCCAGAAGTGGGTTTAATCATTCAAAAAAGAGAAGGCTGTTCCCAGAGGCTACTGGCCATTACCTAAGGACCTCAAGGGAAACTTGCTCTTTATAAAATGTTGGGGGTAGAGAGAGAAGTCTAGCTTTATATCAGTGATCATGAAAATTCTTCTGCCTATTTTGGGGAAATCTTACTTCCTTGGGCTGTCATCCATGTTCCCAGGATTGTAATTGCTCACCCACAGCAGTGCCAGCCCTTGAAACCCTTACCCTTAATTTAGCTGCTGGTCCTTTGGGTCTGTGTAGAGCCTAAAGTGGCAGAGAAGAGGTCTGAGGAAAGTATGGAACCCACTCCCACTGCTCTCAAGTCAATTTTGACTCATAGCCATTCTATAAGACAAAATAGAACTACCCCCATAGGGTTTCCAAGGCTGAAAATCTTTACAGAAGCAGACAGCCACATCTTTCTCCCATAGAGCAGTTGATAGGTTTGAACTGCCAACCTTTTGGTTAGCAGCTGACTAATTTAGCCACTATGCCACCAGGGCTCCCTAAGCATGGAAAGCGTAAGGATTTATTTAACAAATATTTATAATGGTCCTATAATGGGCTAGGCACTGATCTAGGTACTACAGTGATTAAGAGTTGAATTAGGCTGGGCATGAAACATTCATGGTCATTATTAGCATCATCATCACTGCTGTTTGGTAGATAATTAGGCCTGAGTCCAGCCTAAGAAGAAGGTGGAGAAAGAAAGGTAGGGCAGAATGGTGGACATTGAGACAGTGGAAAGACCACTGGTAGAAGAGATGAGAGCCAGATTCTGTTTCCTGGCACTCCATGTAAGAGTTTCAAACTTGCTTCCAACTTTACACTTACCAGCTAAGATTAGTGTTAATTCAGACAACTAAATGGGTCCTTAAATTCCCTTCCAGAAACTTCTTTGATTCTCATCCTCAGAGAGGGACAACAAACTCAAGTCAAACCTTCCTCTCATTTTCACACTAACTGGGTGTTTTCCAATCCAGCAATTGCCCTAATTCTAGAGCAAATGCCCTAAAGCTCAGAAATCAGATTGGGGACTTCAAGGCAAAAGAAAATGCTCCAAGTCTCCAGAGGGGGTGGCTAGGAGTGGGAGACATGACCCAGTCTCTGTTTGCTCAAGGCTGGGTTTGTTCCTTGCCAGCATTTGCTCAACCACAAGCAGTAGGAAGGTTACTATTTAACCCTGACAGGGAAGCTCAGTGCCCAGCCCTTCTGCATGAAGGGATTGGCCCAACAAGCGTGGGGAGGATGGGCAAGAAAGGCTCCCTGCAAATCTTGCATGCAGGTTTGCCCACAAGGCTTTCAAAGTGACCATTTCAGTGGAACTAAGACCTGTCCAGGGCAACTTTGAGCTCCCTTTCAGCTGGCTCAGGATTTCTTCCACTGTGTGCTTGGGTTATTGTTCATGGCCTCCCAGAAACAGGAGCAGGGTGGTGTGAGGTAAGCCACTAGGCTTTTGAGTTGGGGAGATGTGGGTTCAAAACCCACTCCTCTTGCTTGCTGTGTATAACTTGAACAAGACAAGTCTATCTAGCCCAAAATTTTCTGGTCCTCATTTTTCTCAAGTGTAAAATGGGAACAATACCAGACTCAAACGATTGTGAGAATCAAATGAGGTCATATATAGAGAGCTTAGCAGGTAGTAAGAAAGAGTTCAATAAATGTTCAGAACAATTTGGGCCAGTTCTCCGCTTGGGGTCAAATACCCACAAACCCCTTTGCTCCAAGCATCATTTCTCATCATGACCTTCTGGAAGTGTCCAGAACAGCTCGAAACACACAGAGCATCCTTCAGAACTGCAATG